AGTCTCCCACAGAGGACCTCAAGCAGATTTTAGCTGCTTCCCCCTGACACTCTGGCTCTATGAATGACTTTAGTCCTGGAAGATAGACCCGTGGCACTAGCTGCCACCTCTGGTACTGTGTGACTGGGGAAGGCTGATCCTGGGCTTCTCTTGGCTACAGGTGACAAGTACTGGGTGTTTAAGGAGGTGACGGTGGAGCCTGGGTACCCCCACAGCCTAGGAGAGCTGGGGAGCTGTCTTCCCCGAGAAGGCATCGATACAGCTCTGCGCTGGGAACCCGTGGGCAAGACCTACTTTTTCAAAGGTGAACGGTACTGGCGCTACAGTGAGGAGAGGCGGGCCACGGACCCTGGCTACCCCAAGCCCATCACTGTGTGGAAGGGCATCCCACAGGCTCCGCAGGGGGCCTTCATCAGCAAGGAAGGATGTACGTAAGAGCTTGGCGGTGTAGGGGGTGGGCTGATTTTATGTGGGTCTCAACAGGGTCCACGGGCATACTCTCAGGGTACCCAGATTTGAGAAAGGTGCCTGATGGTAAAGACAACGGCCTCGTGTCTACCCCTTTCTCTTCCCAGCTACTAAGTCACACCTCTTATCTGCAGGGATGACTCACATTTTATGTTTCCACAGACTGACTTCACCCCTTCGGATAGCATTTCTCAAATAGTGGTCCTCAGATGTACTCTAAGGGTTCCTCGAGTTTTCAGATCTGAAAAGCAATGATGGATACGGATGCTTTCAAAGGTGCTTGTGTAATAAGGCTTGAGGGCAGGCCGATGGAAAGAGAAGCCTTTTATATTTATGAGACATTTCCAAAACTCCTCCTGGAGGCCAGGCTGGGAGCTCCCCATCAGACTAGGAGCTTCTCAAGAGGAGGGACTGGGTGTTGCCCAGTGCAGAGCGGGAGTCCATGGATGTTTGTTCAATAAATTTCCACTGATCTGGGACTCTGGAGCCTGGCTGGCTTCCTATCCCACCTCCACCACTTCCTAGGAGTTTGGGCAAAACATCTGTTTTCCCAGCCTCCTCATCTATCAAATGGGGATAATAATGGTACCTACCTCGTTGGCATTTCTTAAGAATTAAATAAGATAAATTAAGTGGAGCACTTAGACACACACCTAGTACATGGTCCCTGCCCTGTGCGTTCTAGCTTTCGTCATCATTGCCATCGTCAACTTCTTGTTGGCGCGTCTTATGTTGTGTAGAACGGCAGGAGTCATTCAGTTACTCCACAATAATTACTGAGCGTCAGCCTGCGTGGGAGAGCTACGGAAGGAGCAGGGAACAAGCCTTGCATTGCATCCCTGGCTCCCAGTCTAGAGGCAGAAAACAGCTAAGGTGGCAACAAAAACTCTAAGGGAAGGGAATGCGGAGGGAAAGCTGGGGTCTGGGGGAAGGGCTCTCCAAGGAGATGTCACTGGTAAGAAAGCCAGAAGTCTCAGGGGCAGAGCTGCTCCTTGGTGCCTCTCCTGTGTACCTGATGCTTTACACACATGGTCTCGCTTTCTGGGAGCCTCAGAGACAGGTGACATCAAGGACTTTGGCCAATGAAAGTCCCAGGGTGTGGGGGGCGCTGGCCAATAGGAGAGTCCGAATGAGTTGCTTTGTTGTCTCTAGACTGGCTGGACCCTGAGGATGTTGTGGCTGCCCAGCACCCCCCCCCCCCCCCCCCCCCGCACCCACCTCCTTTCTTTCCAGGCCCTTCCCCAGCAGGGTCCCAGAGACCCTGCATCTGTGTTGTGATGTGTGACAAGCCAAAGAAAACCCATGATAACTGTGACAAAGTGGTGTCTGCTGTCAACAAAAGGAGAAGTCTTGCTCCCCACCCCCCTTGCCTTAGGCAGGAGCTGGGCTGAGGCTCCAGAGCTAAGAAGGCATTTGTCCAAGCCATAGTTACTCACCAGTGTGAGAGGTGGGGGGTGTGTGTGAAAGGCAAATGGGATGGCGCTGTGACCCAAAGCTAAGGCAGAGAGGCACAAACTGGGACTTACTACTTAGAGTCCTTCAGTGGCTTCCCAGCACCTCTGAGATGATGGGCTGGGCCGCCCCAGGTCCTGGGCACACCTCTCTGCAACCGTATGGGTCATACTCCGTGGCCCTGCCACACTGTGTGCAGAGTGTGTGAGCCCTGCCCTCTCCCCACCTCCAGGCCTTGCACCGTGCTGCTCCCACCCCTCCTTCAGAGCTCCTCTTGGACTCCAGGGTGGGAGAGGTCCCCTTCCTCCATGCTGCCTTCTCGCCATGGGTCAGAGCAGGTGCAGGGAAGTGTCTGGGAGTGATGCTGGGCCCTGTTTCTGCAGATTACACCTACTTCTACAAGGGCCGGGACTACTGGAAGTTTGACAACCAGAAACTGAGCGTGGAGCCAGGCTACCCACGCAACATCCTACGTGACTGGATGGGCTGCAACCAGAAGGAGGTGGAACGGCGGAAGGAGCGGCGGCTGCCCCAGGACGATGTGGACATCATGGTGACTATCAACGACGTCCCAGGCTCTGTGAATGCCGTGGCTGTGGTCATCCCCTGCATCCTGTCCCTCTGCATCCTGGTGCTGGTCTACACCATCTTCCAGTTCAAGAACAAGGCAGGCCCTCAGCCTGTCACCTACTATAAGCGGCCAGTCCAGGAGTGGGTGTGAGCAGCCCAGAGCCCTCTCCGTCCACTCGGTCTGGCCAGCCAGGCCCTTCCTCATCAGGGTCTGAGGGGCAGCTCTGGCCACTGCCCACGGGGGCCAGCAGGGCCCTAGGCCAGGGGTCATGCAGCTGAAGTGGTAGGTACATTGGCCTAGGCTGAGCGTGGGGCAGGGAGTGGTGGTGGCTGTGCCCCAGGGTGGGTGTCTGGCACCCAGCTGCCAGCCTTCTGTCCTGGGTAAACTGCTCCCTACCCAAGGGAATAGGCCAGGCCCCATCAGGAGGCAGGGACCATGCCAGGAGGAGGCCCTGTGGGTCACTGAATCCTGTGGTATCAATGAGGCACCACAGCTCCGTTCCTGGCTGGGCCCAGCACCTTCTGTGGAAGCCAGCACTAGCACTCTCAGCCCCATCTGGGAGATGCCACCGATCCCGGTCCCCCTTTGCCAACACCTGCTGGTCAGATGTCCCCCCACCCCTACTACCCCCACCCCACTGTCCTCCAAGGCTACAAGACCCCTGCTGCAAACACGGTGGGCAACAAGCCTGGGTTTCCCCTGCTGGCATTCAGCAGATCCCTCAGGAAACCTGCTCCACGCATCAGGGTCTCCTCTGAGACCTAGGATTTAGGGTCACATGTTGCAGGCAGTGTTGTGGCCCAGCTGGGTCTGACAAGGACCCAGCTGTCATGTCGTGAATATTTAAATGTCCTGTCACTACTGTTTTAAAAGTCCCATTCTGCAAAGGCTGCTTGAGGCGTTAGGTGAATTAGAGGTGACTATCTTGGTGATGAGGCCAGCGTGGCCGGCCCTTCCCCAGGAGATAAGGACCAAGGTGCTGCTAAGGCCACTCTAGTACCCAGACACCCCAAGAGCTGGATTCAGCTCATGAGGCTAAAGGGCTGGGGCAGGAGCTGACCCTGTTTCTGGAGGCTGATCTGAGTTGTGACCACCCTCCACTCCCCTGTCCCTCTTCCCTACTCCCCTAGTCCCTGGCCCTGTTGCTTACAGTCTGGAGCTCAGCCCGACTAGTTAGGTTTGGTCTGGGGCTCAGTCTGACTAATTAGGTGCGCAGAAAAGGCTCCAGGCCAACATTCTTGTGGCTTTGGAGTAAAAGGCCCAGGGGAGCCTTCTGAAGTGTTCAGAGCCCACACCCCTAGCTACCTTGAGGCCGACTCGATCTCTCAGCCTGGAAGCAGTGTTTATACAAGCTTGGCCCTTGCTAACCCAGCTCACTGGGCCCATCTTCCTGCACTGCTCTTTGGAAAAGGGCACCCCCAACTGGTAGCAGTCCCACTGCTAGGGGCCAACCCTTCACTCTCTGGCAGGACTTCCTAGGGCTCAGCTTGCCTCTCTCCAACCCAGTGGAGACAGCCCCCTTTGTCACTGAAGAGCCCCAGGAAAGACCCATGGGTTCAGTGGTGCCCACTGGCTCTCTGCCAAAGCCAAAAGGAGGTATCAGTCCTCAGGGTGCTGGCAGAGCCCCAGATGCCATCCTGGCCCTCTGAGCCTGCATGGGCCTTGCCCCTATCCTGTGGCCTCTGGGCTCTGGGTTGGCTTAACCTGTAGCAGACAGGGACTACTGTTGCCCTGGGAGCCGTCTTGAGCAAAATCTCTCTTGTCCCAGAGGCACCTATGTGGGTCCACCGTGTTCCCTGTCATCATCCTTCTGTTTTTTCTCATTTTGGCCAAGGGCGGGCTCCCTGGGGCGGGTGGGGAACAACTGCAGAGGTATTAGCAATTCATAGGTTTGTATAGTGTTTTATACTTTGCAAAGCACTTTATTAGCTCATACCTGTCCACTCACATGAAACTCGTGTAGGCCCTGGGAAGCCTAGGGTACCTCTCACCGTGCCCTCAAATGAAGCACAGAGAGGTTGTTTCTCACCCAGGTCATCATCGGGTGGGCTGGCTGGGCCTTGGGTCCCCACCTATGGACGCCTCTAGGGTCCAAGATGAGATCAGAAGGGTCTCTTTTATCCATCTCTTCCTGGCCTCCCTTCTCCCCTTCTAGGTCCCCCTCCACTCCTCAGGTTGGTGCTCTCACTTCTTGAAAGCTCTAGGCTCCCCAGGCTCCCCATTGGCTCCTGGTACTACCGAGGCCAGCTGAGAAAGAGCAGGAGATGGAGGCAGGCAGAGCAGGCTGCAGACGTGAGGGATGCAGGGCCAGGCCCAGAGAGGGCTCAGCCTGGAGGCTTCCAATCTCGGATTCTCCTGTCTTGTGGTCATCTGTTTGTCCATCACCCCAGGACAGGCCAGACAGACAGAGGGGCACAGCACTGGGGACCCCAGAGCCCAGCTTCCCTCGGCCTGGGGAACATCACAGCATTTCAGTGTCGGTCACATTTTAAACTGATCAGCCTTTGTATAATGTTTTTTAAATCATTTCTAAATAAAACAAAAATACAGAGTGTGTTGTTTCCCTGGGATTTGGGAACAAGGATCAGGTTATGGGAGTGGCCTTAAGAAGCTTCTGGGAGAAGGAGAACAAGGTGCTTTGGGGTGTCTGGGAACTGTCCCGTGCATCTCATCTCCCAGCCCAGCAATTAGATGTCTCCTCTCTCCAAAAGGCTGGCCCTGCAGGCCCAGGGTTACTGGGGTTCTCAAACACAGCCTGATAATGCCTCAATAGGATCCAGAACAACAGAGCAACTTCCCCTAGGAGGGGCACCGGGAGGGTCACTGTGGCTAGGTCTTCTCTGAAGGCAAGGCACGTGGTGCCATAACCAAAGACAAAAGCAAAAGTCAGGTTCTCAGCAATAAAGGACAGATGACAGGAGGTCAAGTCAGCAGTCTTGGGGTTTTACCAGGAGTCCTGTCCTGGTTTGGGAAGCCAGTGCTGGGGAGGGCTACCCCAGGACCCAGACCGCTGAAGAAGCTACAGGGTGGGGGTGAGCACGAAGGTTTGAGCTGGTTTGGGTTCAGGCTGAGAAGCAAACAAATTCGGGGGCAGCTAGAGGCAAGCCGGTGCCCCATCCATGGTCCTCCGTGACCTCCTCGACTCTCCGAGCATCTCCTGGGCACCGCGGGTGGAAAGAGACCACGAGAGACGAACCAGGTGAGGCGAACAGAACGACAGTTGGGGGTGGGCGGTAACTGCGGAGGGTGGCTTGTCAGTACCAGGAGGTGCAGGCGATGAGGAAGCGCACATCGTCCAGCGGCCCCCAGGGACCGGGTTCAGGCGGGGGCCGCTCAGGGGCCTCGGGCGCCCGGGGCTGGGGTGGGGGTGGGGGTTGGGGTTGGGGTTGGGGCTGGGGCTGGGGCTGCACCTGCTCCGGGGCGCCCTGGCCGCCGCTCAGCCGAGAGCCCATGGTCTGCAAAGAGAGGCCGTCAGGCGTGGGCCGGCCGCATGCCACCCCGTCTCCCCGCCCTGCTCCAGCCCAGCCCAGCCCTCACCTCGCGCCGGGGGAGCCGCGGGTGTCCGGGATCTCAGCGCCGGCGACCGCGGTCCGCGAGCAGCGTAGCCACGCCGGAGGGGCTGGCGTCGTGGCGTCAACGCGCGCACCGGCCCCGCCCTCAGGCCACCGCTACACACCCCGGGGGCGGACCTGACAGATCCAACCCCACCCACCAGCTCCCGGCCAATGCGGCTCCAGCGTCCCGGGGCCCCGCCCCGCACACCACCCGGAGACACAAGTGACTCCTCCTCCGGACGCTTCCCACACCCACTGGAGCTACGGAGGCAAGCTGTTCTGCAGATGGTGGCAGCCAGCACTGCGACCTCCGTCAACCTCGGTCCAAGGAGACAAGATTGCCCTGTGGCCCGTTGCTCCAGACACCTTACACGTCCTCATACCAGCCCGGAGGAGAGCTGGAACAGATTCTCACCCCTTGAAGCTCAGAAGTATGAGGCTGAAGTTGTGTGGAAAATGTGAGAACTGCAGTAGAGAGAATGCTTCTTCCTCTTGCCCTGGGAGGAATCCACCCATCCTGATCATGGGAGATTGCGAAACTGAAGTGTGTGTGTGTGCATCCTACCCATTTCACCCCAGAACAGTGCTAGCGAAGGAGGTTGCAGGCGGAGGCTCCCAAACAACACATTCAAGAATAGCGAGAGGCAGCTGCCCTTTAATGGAAGTGGTACAGCAAACAGAGCAGTCAGTCAGGAGCCCTTAAGGCCCGACAAACAACACAACGTGGCAATTTCTGCAGTAACTGTAAATTCAGGAGATGGGCACAGGTGAAAAGCTGGGCATCCAGCCACTCAGTCCCAGTGAGCTCTCTGCCAACTCCCGGCCAGCATCCAGAACAGACTGGGTGGGGCATGGAGGGAGCGGAAGTCCAGAGCCAAGAGCCCACAGAACACCATGGAAGGTGACTCAGGTGAGACTAGGGAGAGAAGAGGGAATACTGTCAGTAGGTTCTTCTCAGAGCGCACCTCACCCTTTATTAAGACACTGCCTCCACCCTTACCCCTTTGTTCCAGCTCAGCCCCGAAGAGCCACACTCAGAGCCCCACCCCGCTGCCCGGCCCAGATTACACTGCTTCCTTGAGTCACAATCCAGTCCAGATCCCTCAGAGCTTAAAACCTAAAAGCAACTCCTTCCCCACTCAACTCAGTAATTTATTCAAACTTACCAATCATAAACCAGAACCTCAGAGGTCAAGTCCAACAAACATCAGAAAAGGGAGTAAGAGGATTCAAAATAAAAGGGACATGCCCAGACCTCAAATCCCCCAGTGACAGGAATAGGGCCAGAACATTCTTCCTGGAGGTAATAATTACACATAAAATTATAAAACTAGAATACGTATTTCTAATCACCTACCTGACCCCATCATTATGAGCGCTCATGGGTACCTCAAATCAGTGGGTTCAAAACCAAAGGAAGCCAGTGAGTTTTGGCTCTTCCTTTCTAATACCACATCTTTACCTTATCTAACTGCATGACTTAGGACCACTATATGCTGACACGTGCTGGGGACTGTGGGCAATTCTGCCTGGCTTCAAGAGCAGTTTCTAAAGCTTCACCATTAAATACAACATTTGCTGTAGTTTTTTGGTAGGTATCAATGATCAGGTTGCAGGGGTGCCTGGGTGGCTCAGTGGGTTAAGCCTCTGCCTTCCGCTCAGGTCATGATCCCAGGGTCCTGGGATCGAGCCCCACATCGGGCTCTCTGCTCAGCAGGGAGCCTGCTTCCTCCTCTCTCTCTGCCTGCCTCTCTACCTACTTGTGA